CCCCGCCCGGTGCCCGCCCTCCAATTGGCCACGCCCTTCTCTAGGCCACGCCCTCACAGCGTCCCGCCCCGCTGTGGTCACACCCGTGAAGCCACGCCCCCTGTGTGTCACAGGCCACGCCCCCTGTGCCTCACAGGCCACGCCCCCCGCGGCCGCTTCCGGCCGTTCGAGCGCCGTGGCGGGAGCGGCGCCTGAGGGAGCGCCGGGGGCACAGCGGGGCTGAGGGCGCTGAGCGGGGACAGGGTCTGTGGGGAGCGAGCTGGAGGAGCCCGGGGAGCTGCGGGATCCCAGGGAGCCTGGAGGAGCCGGGGGCTGGGAAYTGGAACTGTCAGGGCTGGAGGAACCGCGTCTGGTGCTGCGGGGCTGAGGGAGCCGGGGGGTGATGGAGGGGTTCAGAGAGGGATGGAGGAGCTAGGGAAGGCTGATGAGGGCTGGGGGAGCCCAGGGGGCTGAAAGAGTAGGGGTTGTGGGGAAGCCGGGATTGGAAGAGCCATCGGGGGCTTGGGGACCCTGAAGAAGGGGCGGGGAGGGCTGAGGGAGCCCAGAGAGGCTGGAGGAGCCCAGAGAGGCTGAGGGAGCCCGGGAGGGGCTGGAGGAGCTCGGGAGGGCTGAGGGAGCCCAGAGGGGCTGAGGGAGCCCAGAGGGGCTGGGGGAGCCCAGAGAGGCTGGGGGACCCCACAGGGGCTGGAGGAGCCCTTCACTGGTGTGCACTGAGCTCAAGCGTTTCTCTGGAGTAGCAAGATAAATGTGGGTTTAAAATATGCCCCTTCCCCCAGAGGTCCCTGTCACCAGGCGATTTGCACTCAAACTGAGTTACATGAAGAGCAAGGAGGAGAAAGAGAAAAAATAAGCCATGCTGCTTGTTTTTCCTTAGAGCATTATAGATGATTTGCATAACAGAAACAGTGCAGATGTATTTCTTGCTTTGCCTTTAAATTTGCTGCTGGCATTTGAAACCAGAATATTTTTCTCTGTATTGTGCCGGAATATTCCAGCTGTTTGCAGCTTCCAGGCAGGATGCTCACACGCTGCCTCTGGATTTGATATTCCATCCTCTGTTTTGACACTTGCACAAACTGCTTTCCATTTCCCTTCTGACAACGTGAAGGGTGCCACAGGCGTGTTTAATACAGGAAGAATTAAATTTATACAGACTTTCACTTTTCACAGTTATTCACTGCTTTCAGCATCTCAGGCTGTGATGGATTGATCCAGTGACCCCAGTGCACCAGCATTTATCATCTTGGGAGAAGCAGGCACAGCAAAGGCTCTTCAGGAGAGYTGTGGGCTGAAAATGGATGGTTGGCATTAGATTGTCATGCTGGCAAATACAGGCTGAAGTAGAGATGGTTTAGAGTATTCAGTGGTTATTCAGTGCTTAAAAATAGAGATAATAAATAAAGATTTTTACAGGAGTGATGCTGGAAGGATGATGGGAGCCAAATACAGCTCCTAGCTTGTGAAGCACTCTGTAGCTGTGCAGGAAAGAGAGCCTGGTAGGGCAGAATTTATTCCCTTTATTCCGCTTATGGAAAGGGGTAGCTCAGACATATCCTTGATGTGTTGTCAGGTAAAAGAAAATCAGCATTGACCCAACCTCCTCCACCATTTCGTTTCTTTTTTTCCCTCCTGGATTCTCCTGAGCTGGTCCAATTTCTGTTTTCCATTATTATTATTATTAACTTGGAAAGCCTCATCCTCTTGCCTGGTTTGTGCCATGCAGCTCACCCTGGTGACATGAGCAGAAGCAGCTGCAGACAAATAACTCCTGTGAGTTGTGTTTTCTGTCAGAGCAGAGTTAGCAGCCCTCAGCCCCTGACAGCACCAACCCCTGGCTGCTGTATCCAGCTCCAAGGACGCTTCCAAATCAGCCCTGGATGCTGGGAAAAGCTCSTGCCTGTCAGTTTGACATGATTTGGGAATTCTCCTTGGGAATCCTGTCAGCTGGATCCTCYCTGACAGCCCAGAGCAGTAATTAACCATTGACAGTCAGTGCTGTGGGGTTTTAGAATAGCTCAGCTCATGTGGCTGCTGACAGAGCTCTGAGTGACACTGCAGGGAATCATCACTCCACTGTCTGCCTGCTGCTTGCCAAGCAGGGAATGTGCCTTCTGTGACCTTCCAAAGAGAGCCCTTGGGCCCCAGGACACTCCTGAAGGAACAAATCCCTGCTGGCCATGCTGTGGGTGACTCTGTGATCTCCAAGGAAATCAGGGAGCCAGGGATCTGAGTTCTGATGGTGTTGCTGGGCCCGTGGATCTGCAAAGAGTAAATCATCACATGCTGGGGCAAACTGCTTTTCCTGCTTGTTGGCTGCCATGGGGTTTCTGTGGCTCTGGAGGTGGGATGCCAAGGGGCATTCTCCCTGGAGTTCAGTGGGAAGACAAGGACTGTCCCAGAGATCAGCCCCATGGAAAGGAGCTGGTTTGGCTCAGCTGTTCCCAAACAACTCACTCAGGGASATGTTTCCAGTGTGTCACACCTTCACCTGTGAAACAATAAATCAGAGTCTGTCCATACTCTGAACCTCTGCCCTCATGACTGGCTTCTTCACTTGGAAAATAATTTGCTTATTACTCATATTTCACATTTTCACCTGTCACAAGCTATTCCAGACAAAAATTTTGGAGGTGAGATTAAAAAGTTCTCCAAGCCTGGAGCTCATCCTCAACCTTCAAGGTTGTGGCTGCAATGTTGTGGTTTATTCAGCACCTTTAAGCTAAAGACTGGTTGTACCTGAGGAAGGATAAACAATCCTGTGCCTCTCATCCTCGTGAAGGTGATGTGAGCACTGCCTCTGGGGATGTGGATCCTGGATAATAAACCTGTCTGTGCCAGAAATCAAGTTCCAGATGTGATCCATGGCAGGAGAAACAGCACAGGTTCCTCTTGCAAACACTTCTACTCACCTCAGCTGTAAWATAAGAGAGGGGTTCAAAAAATGAAGGATTCTTGATGCTTTTAGAAATTAGGAGAATGCTGGTGGCTGGGAGCTGCCTGTGTTCCTAAAGCTCCAGGACTGCCAAGCAGTCCCAGCTCTTTTCAGACACAAAAAGAACTTTCCAGCCTCAAAAAGTGGAGAAGGCTCACCAGAGTGCTCAGGAAGGACATGCAGCATCTCAAAAACTTTCCATATTCCAGACAATCATGGAGCCATCCTGGGAGGCAATCAGGACAAAGTGCCATCTCTGTGACACACAGAGAGGAGGGGGAAGATGCTCCCSCTGCCACAGACAGAAAAGWGACATTTTTGAGCTTGTTTATGTGCTGTGCTTCCCCAGCTGGAACCCCCGGTCCTGTCTGAACCCYGTGGTCGGTGCCAGGAGCAAGATTAGGTTCCTGCAGACATATCTAGGTCAGTGTGTGCTGTTGTTGTCCTGACGACAAAATGACCCACTTTCCCCTCATTTGTGGAAGCAGTTGCCAATGGGGCTGGGGCATGGCCGAGCACAAAGGCACAGGACCTTCCTCCTGCCTTTTTCTCCAAGCTGAGATCTTACAGAAACTGAGGTTTTCTCCTCCTTGCTCTGTTTGTTGMTTGTGTTTCGTGCATCTCATTTGTTACAGAGGGAAAATTGAATTTATCCTTGGTCTGTGTCTGTCCCAGGACTGATCCTGCCTTTGGGGAATCTGGTGGGGGTTTGTCCCACCTGGAGAAATCCACAGTGGGATGGGCATGGGGTAGGACAGACCCTGCACAGCTCAGGCACTGCTGGCACTGGTGCCCATCAGCTCTGGGCAGGAAGGCACCAGAGAAAGGAGTCTGACCAACACTTTTGTGTGGATTATACTCATCCCTGAGAGGGCAGAGACAAAAAAGCCTTTTAGAACATGGCTCTGGTGGGCCTGTGAGAGCAGCCATAGCTGGATTTCTGTGATGGATGATGTGAAATGAGCTGAGCTGGCCTGATCTGGTAATACAGGGATGGCTCCAGCATAAAACATGAGCAGACTTATTGGTGTGGTGGGGTTTTTCCTTGAT